GAGACAGTAACACTTGAAAGTTTAGATAGTAACAGTTCAAATAAGACAGTAACAGTTCAAATTTGATTTAATACACGAGTCGAGCTTGCCTACTGAAATTTTGATTTAATTAAGACAATAAATGTCCAAAGTTAAGACAGTAACAATTTAAATTTGATTTAATTATGACACTAATAGTTCAAAATTGATTTAATTAAACAAATTAAATAAGTTAAGACGGTAACAATTCAAAAAATTGATTTAATTGAGACAGTAACAGTTTAAAAGGGACACAAGAAGTTTCAGGATCAAAACTCTGTCAATTATCTTGGACATTTTCATAAGTGAGATTTTCACTTTCTATGCTCATAGTCTTTTGAACACCTTGTCTATTGCCTTCCTTGTCAACCTTGCTACTTTTGGAAAGCAATGTTTTTCAAAAGCTGTCTTGTTTCGCATCCTTGCAGCTTTATTTTTCTAGAGATCTATCCGTATGTTTCCATCTCTGATCCCAAAAATCAATTTCATGTCCTCTGCATATATTTTAAAGTCCTTGTCATTAATCCTGAAAACTTCTTCATTTTTGACGTATGTTTGCAAAATCTGATATACAGTAAGGTCACTTTTTCTACACGTATTCTTATCTAAACGCCCTTCCAAAAAACATTCTATCAATATCCAGAATGGTGTCTTGATGAGCTCGTTTTTCACTCTTTTTGTCATGTTTGTCGTCCCAACATCCTTGACTATTGCATAAAGGTTTGACTTGAATTGTGGACCTTTTCCCATGGAAGCCATCTGCAAACCACATTTTTTGTTTAAAATGATCTAGTTTATTCAAGTAGCAGTTGGAGCAACAAACAGTCACAGGACAAAAATTCCTTCCAAACCATGTTTTCTTCGTAGATTTAATCAGGTTTATTAGTGACAAACAATACATGAAGACAGTAACAGCTGAACAAACAAAAATTAAAAATCAGTTTAATCAGGTTTATTTGTTTTAGGGTTGTTTTTTTCATTGATTTTCATTAACAGAGCAAGATAGTAATGACGTCAAAATTATTCAGAAATTATAAAGTAACATTTGAAAAATGAGATAAACAATATATAAACATATCCTAAGTTTCTGTAATGTACGATGAAGATGAGAAACAAAAAATTATTTCTTTAATGAACCAATGACTAAAGACAGTAAGTTGTTGTTTTTCAGCGTCAGTACGAAAGGAGTGATATGTCATTGGAAAGTTTTTATGAAGAAAGTAACAGTTTAAATTTAATTCAATCAAGACAGTAACAATTCAAAGTTTAGACAGTAACAGTTCAAATTTGATTCAATCAAGACAGTAACAGTTTAAATTTGATTTAATTAAGACAATATCAGTTCAAAGTTACAGAATAAGTCAGTAACTATTCAAAATTGATACGTAACCATTCAAATTTAATTTAATTAAGACAATAACAGTCAAGATTTGCCCGGTTATATATTGCTCTGGAATGTAATAGCAGCAAGCACATACAAGTCGTGAACGACATGTCATTGTAAACTTTTTTGACTGCCCATGAATGATTGTCATTGTATGTCGGACACAACATGAGTTGAATAGAATTCTCTCTTTTTTTTAATTGTTTTTGAAATATTTTGGTTAAAAGTGGCTTCATTTTATGTAGTTTATTGAAAGCTAATTTTTTTTTTTTTTTAAATCTCTAATGTAAATAAATAAATAAATAAAATGTTAGAAAATCTCTTTTTTAAACGTTTTCCAGAGTTCTTTAAATGGAGACTGCAAAGCCAAACATCACACACGAGTCGAGCTTGCCTCCTGAATTGATTTTCGAATTCCATTTAAGCGCTTTCCATAGTTCTTTAATTGAGACTGAAAAGCCAAACATCAGCAGCCAAATTGTAGTCTAAGGAATGGGGTTGGAGAGCAAATCAAAGGTTAGTGCTACGGTTCTTCTTCATTGCCAATTCGAATTTAGTTTTATTCTGAATTCATGTAATAGCGTAATCACCAAACTGATACTGTCTCTCTTCTCAACTGTTACTCTCTTATTTACGGGTTTCTGGTTCATATATTTCATTTGTTTTCAACTATGAAACCAGAAACGATCTTTCCATCAAATATAAAAGACATGCAAACCGTTACTGTATAATTTTGATGCTGTACTTTATCTCTCTTTCTGTGTTAATGTACAGTTACTGTATAATTTTGATGCTGTTGCCGGATCTCTCTTTCTAATGTTAATGTCTTATGATATTGGTTTAATGTTCAGAAGCTGAAAATCTATGAAAAAAAACTTGAAATTAGAAGGGCTAGGCACCTTGGATTAACCATTTCTCAAATTTTCAATCAGCAATGAATTATAGTGTAACAGGGCATAATCTATTGACAACATCTACTATGTCCAATACATTTTCTTTGTGTAGCGAACAATTAGTCATAATTTACAAATTTCTTCGCATTGTATATTCATGCTTCGAAATTGTATTATATATGCACTTTTGAATTACATATTCATGATTCTATGATATGGTTTCTTGTTATTTTACAGATAAATCTATTCACTCACATCGCCCAAGCAGGTTCTTGGGTACCAGATCATGAAGTTTCGAAAAGACTGGAAGGTACAGGTTTTGATTTAATCCAAAGAATCTCAGCAACATTCCAGCAAGATTCTCGTTTAATACAAGCATTGCTGGACATGTATAATGCAAATGAAGATGTATTTAGATTTGAAAACTCTTGTGATTTTTCTTGTCTTGCAATAACAAATATATCTTAGGCATGACATTATTTTTCTCTTAATTTTCGCATCCAGCTACTCCTCCTCCAATTGAACAAGCACCTCTTGTTGTTGATGATGTCATAGGTATGACATTACTTTTCTCTTGATTTTCCAATATATCTCCATACCCGACTATTCACTCTTGTGATTTTTCTTGTCTTGCAGTTAGAAGAGGCAAAAGAAATCCCCTAACACCTTCATTTTTGCACGATACGCAATATTCTTTAGCTGTAGACAACATCAAACTTTCAAGAAGAAAGCGTTTACAATTTTGAATGTCTTTAATTTTGATTTAGTAAACAATATATTTTATAATCTATACTTCGAACATTGGACAGGATAAGAATATTAATGTCATTACAATATGTTGTTTTATTTTTCCCAATGTTCACCAAGCATATTCCATTGAAGTAACTAACTAGTTTAAGTAATTATACACTTACACTAATTAGGATAATAACAGTTCGAAGTTTAGACATTAACAGTTCAAAGTTAGCCAGTAACAATTCAAATTTAAAACAGTAACAGTTCGAAAGTCATTATTGGCAGAAGTTCAAAATTAAGACAATAATTTTGATTTAATTCAGACAGAAACAATTCAAATTTAATTTAATTGAGATGGTAGCAGTTCAAATAAGACAGTAACATTTCAGAATTGATTTAATGAAGACAGTAACAGTTCAAATTTAAGATAGGAGCAGTTCGAAAGTCATTATTGGTAGTAAGTCCAAAATTAAGACAGTAATTTTGATTTAATTAAGACAGTAATAGTCCAAAATTAAGACAGTAATAGTTCAAATTTGATTTAATTATGACAGTAATAGTTCAAAATTGATTTAATTAAACAAATTAAATAAAAATATAGGAGAAGCATTCACTCGACTTCTCAAGAGCTCGTTTAATAGGAGCTTAAGGAGGGATTATAGGAGGGGCACAACAACAAGAAGAAGGAAGAGCGAGTTAAGCTTCTATAGTTGGTAGGTATTCTATACCTACATGTTTTGCATAGCGTTAAATTACTAACTTATTAAATTCATGGTCTTTGCGTCTATGGGTGAAATCACAAAAAGAATAAAAATTAATTTGAGTACTTGATTGGGTTAAGGTCCTCTAGTCTCCTTTTGTATGATTGAATAAGAAGATGAATATTAATGTATTTTGTCTTTAAGGAACTAATGAGGTTCCACATGGTTATAATATGATTGAGAAATGAATATAACTGTACAGGATGACATGGAACTCCAGGTACAAAGGAAACTCTGTTGAGATTTCGGCTATATAATTTTATTTTATTTTTCTCGTTCACGAGGCGTTTTTGTGCGTTTGAGCTGTTGGTAAACAGCACAAGGGCCAAGCTTTTCATGTTCGAATGTTTGCTTGATGCCTCAATTATTTCGGAAATTAATTAAAAGAAACTAAAAACAGGAAGCTTTTTTATCATTCCCATTTCCACCGAACAACATTCTCTCATATTTTAATGTAAATGGAAGTCATCAACACCATGCAACCATACGACGGGTCATCTGTATTCTAATAAAAACTAGTTGGTTCCCATGTTATATGACGGATTTATTTTTATTTTTATAAAAAATATTGTAAAAAAATAAAATGAAACTTCCAATGGTTTAAAATATTGGATTGAGTTTGAGTATGGATATGTCCGAGTCTAATATAAAATTAAATATAATTTTGTTTAGATCTGATACTAGGTTGGACATTGATATATTTAAAATTCAACATGTTATTACCATGTAAAAAAACTATATAGTTAATTTAAATGATAAAATTAAAAATTATTATTATTATTAAATCAAAACCCTGTTAGATATGGTATTGTAGTCACATCCAATGTTTTTGATGGGTTTTACTGGAAATCCGGGTATAAAAACTTTGAATTTGGCTCCAACACCATACCCCGACGCTTTTGGATTTTATAATTTTTAATATGTTTTATATATAAAAAAAGTTAGCCCTAGCACTGGCCACCTATAAATTTATAAAGCAAAACTTACTATATAAGATTGAAGCAAGCCGCAGAAGCGGAAACAAATAAAAAGAATCGTATAATTTAAAACCTGATAACCTAACATCAAAATAAAAAAAACTTGGCCTTTCCTGCGCTGCGCTGCGCTGCATGCTGTTCCTAATTTTCGTGACTGATTTACCCAAGAAGATTGTTTATTTGACATTTTCATGCCGATCCCCTTTTCTCATTTCCCGTCTGCGATGTTGAAGAAACTCTCTGCACTTGTCCAAACCCTCAAAAGAAAAGTGTAAGACTCCTTTATACACACACACACACACACGTTTCCTATTCGAAGGAAATTTATTTAAACATATTATTTCATACTTCTTGTTTAACTTATTTATTTTGGATGAGTTTATTTTTATTTTTTGGTTGCAAAGATTCGAAGAAGAAGATTATGATTCCGATGAAGAAGATTATGATTCCGATGAAGAAGATTATGATTCCGATGAAGAAGATTATGATTCCGATGAAGAAGATTATGATTCCGATGAAGAAGATTATGATTCCGATGAAGAAGATTATGATTCCGATGAAGAAGATTATGATTCCGATGAAGATTCCCACAATCACGTTCAGAACCATGTATGCATTTTGTTTTAAAACGCTTTATTTATTTATTTATTAAGCAGCAATTTTAGGGTTTGAAAGTCGGGTGTTAATGGGGTAGAATCACAGCTAGAAAAGGACCGACATGGTCTGCACAGAACCTTCAGTCCTACTAAGACCTTCTGTGAGCCTTGCGAAAGAGAGAAACTTTAACCGGCTACCTCAGAGATTTTGGGCTTTGCTACCAGAGCAAATCGTTGCGTGGTGATTTTAGCTTGCATGAAGTTTTTGTTTGTTGTTAGCAGTAATAATAGCAACACATGTTTTCTTTTCACTGTTTTCTCTCAGGATGGTTGTGATCCCATGCACTTTTGTGGCGAGTATGATTGTCCAATCACCACCATTTTACACGCTGATGATGCAGACAGATTTCTGAAAACGTTGAAGTGGCCAGTAGACCACCAAGGCCAAACATCATGGACATTGCACATCAGATGCTTAATGAAATTCCTTAACTTAATTCCTTTTTTTTTTTATCGATATTGTCACTCCTCCTGTCTTTGTCACACTTGCTTTCTTTCACCTTTTCCCTTGTGAAAATTTATGTCTAATTGGTTTTAGTTTTGAACATTATGATTTGCCGAAGAAGAATATTGTGTATTTGTTGTCATCATCCATGCCTTCTAGACTTAGCATTCCTCTTGCTACCATCTATTTTAAAATCACCGTGTTAGTTTCTATTTGAGTTGACTCATAAAATTGAACTAGTTACGCTGAATAAAGTTGAAGCGAAACCAATTCGCCTAATTCATGTACACTTGCGATTCACCCCACAACCTACAACTTGCGCTGTTTTGTTTGTGATTGGAGAATAATCATAAGACTAGAATCGTGACTTGTAAGATTCTAACAACCATTCTCTGCATTAACATGTTTTTCTATCGTATATTTTTCAATGATTAACATATTTTCATTTGATGGAATCCCTCTTTTCCCCTGTAGACGCCACAAGAACAAGTAGCCCGAGCACTTCAAGAAGCGGGCTTTTGTTTGGATGACAAGGACACTGATATGCACCACGTTGAAAGGTTGGATTTTCATGCTGTTTCTGGCTGGCTAATGATTGCCATTGCAAACATATCATTTCTTTCAGATCAATCTGCCTTTTGGAATTTCTTGTTAATATTTTGTTTTGTATGATCATTTTTTTGGGGGGGCTCCATAGGAAAGGTATTCGTTTGTTATCTCATCTTTTATTTCTTTTTGAACTTTCATAGTTTTTCATGGCCAAGTTTACTGGATTTCGGTCAAGTCTGGATTGCTAGAAAGAATGCAGAAAAAAGCTATCAATTGGTAAGGTTGGAATTGTTGTTTTCTATTTGTGGTGAGAGCTAGCATGTTGAATGTGTTTTTCTTCCATTAGTTGCCTATAATTTCTTACTGCTTTGCCTTCTGGATTTCCAGCAGGAGTGAAGTTAACCATATTTAATGAATAAATTTTGAATAGATGAGTGCTGTTTGCATGTTTTAATCCCTGTTTTTTAACTCAATTTCATCACTATTTTTCGACAGATTGACAAAAGAAATTTTTAACTATTTTTGTATTTTAAATATAAAGATTGTCGAACCACATACTTCGTTTAATAAAGTATAATTTTTGGGAGTATATCTTTTTTATTTCCACAAAACTGGAAAATTTGAAAATACTCCTTTCGGAGGAAACATTTTCTTTTCAACTGGCATTTTTCTGAGAAAATATTTTATAGAACACCTAAACACTAAATGAAAGCAGTGTATTTCATGCTCTGGTTATGCTATGTATGGCAATGTGTTTGAAGGGGCTTTTCTGAAGTGAGTTTGGGCTGAAAGGGCATGAACCGAGTGATGTTTGGTGGCTTTTATACGAGTATGTCAAATTGATTGAAAAGAGCTCGAAAGCTCATTTGATGCATTAGCAAACACTCAATGTTGTTGGTTGTAGGAATGTATTGAGCTTGCGCAAAACTTTCTTTTCATTGCGGGTGTGCATCTTGCAAATTTGACCTGATTTTATTGTGTACCTTGCCTTTGAAGGGATCTTCTTTAAACATCAGCAGTTATGCAAAGTGGAGAAAGAATCCAATCTTCCAATCACAACGATGCAATGGAATGAAGTATAACAAGATTGACTTCAAGCCCGATGCATCACTGGACAAAGATCTAAAATTATTATGGTACAACTAAGAGATCTCAAATAGATGTATTTAACTGATAGACAACTCAATAAAGCTTTGCAGAGGTGTTGAGGGTGTGTTTATCTATGAAAAAAATGTTCTAGATTTTCATGTGGATTTTTATGTGATAGAGAACTTGGGTCTGCTTGTTTTGTACCTCTGTATTTTTCTTTTTTATGTTAAACCGGGAAAGATCCTTTGTTTCCTATATTGCAACTAATTCTAGGCAAATATGTTTTCTTGTTTTTATACTTGCATACAACTAATTAACGTGGAAAAGGTATGAACCTTTTTTCCACAAGCAAATGAAACCTAAACATTTTTGTTTCTGTTCTTGCTTGATTGGTGGGTTTATTTGAAACTACTTATTCTGTTGCAGCCAAAATATCTGTTTAAGGGATTGGACTTCTGAAAAACCAGTCACCTCATTGCTTTACGCACTTGGTTCAATGGACTCGGTTGGTGCTTGAAATTTTATATTGTATTTTCTTTCCTTGTTTTGTGATCATTATTATCGGAATCTAGAGTCTTTAAAATAGCTTGTCTGAATGACAGAGAAAATTACTAGAGACAATCAAGTCACACTTGGACAAAACTGAGGAGATTGGGGAGTTGGTTTGCTATTATGCCAGAGAAGGAGGAGTGGTTAAGGTGGCTGCTCTGTTGATGGTGGCCTGGAAAAAGCTGATGGCCGTGGACTCATTTGACAGTAAACATGGTGCTAGTGTCGGTAGAAGTAAGATTCGCCAATTTTTAATGAGCGAGATTGAGAGGCTGATTGACAAAGAGATGCAACAATTGGGAAAATCGACAAAGATACATATGGATAAGCAAAACATGACATCGAACAAGATGTTTACAGATAAGCAAGATATGATGTCTGCATTGCAGTTGCTTGAAATTTTTGAGAGGGCTGGTGATGGTCTTGATCAATTCATTCAGGAGAGACAATGCAGTGTAGGTCACAATATGTATTTTCAATCCCATTTCACCTTTCAGCAACTGAATTCTATAGTTTTAAGCAGTTGAAATATAAAATGGTTTTTCTACTACCGTTGCTGCTTGTATAGGAGATGACAAAAGAAGATTCTGCAGAGATCGTATGTTTGCTTTCAGGTCTTGTCTGCACCTCAAATCCGAAAGGCACCTCGAAATGGTATGGAATAGCTATATTTTTTTTCAATTAATCTGCTACCATTGTTCTATTATCTTGTTTCTTTAATTCACTGTTATACTTTTGAAAACAATCCCTCAATCGCCGCAACTTAAATGTTAAAACCTTCCATTAGATTCTCAGGATATTTTTGGTGCTGGATGTAATACAAGCATTGTAGATTATCATCTGAATAGTTAACTTTTTGTGGGGGTACATCCAACCAAATCAGCTTTAGTTGTTATCTATATTAAGTTGGAAGAAATTTAAATGGATATCTTAATTAATAGAAGTTGAGGAGGAAAGTTCAATATCTTATAGTCAAGTGACTGATTTTATTATTTTGTTTATAAAACCTGTGCACCCGTTAATGTGTTTGTGGTTTGAAGTGATCAATGGAGTTGCATTAGGTGCTCAGAGTATGAATTAGATGAAGGAGAATCACCATCAGGTAATTATTAACTTAATCTTCTCATTTATTATTTTTGTTGCTTTGTGGGGATGGAAGGAAAGGTGGACGGGGATTAGGGAGCATAATAGAAGACTGTTGACTAATGATGTTCCTAAAATTGTTAAGTGTAGATTTCATTTCTTATTATTCATACAATCGCGTCACCGATGTGGAGCGTCAAATCGCATATGCGTTTAAGGTGAGATTTATTTTTAATATGATTTCTTGCATATTCTTAATCTGTACATTGGCTTAGCGTTTTGGTGTTGGTCTTGTTTCCAACTATTTCTTGCAGTGAGTGGCCGTGACAATGTGAGGCAGGATTTATTTTTGTTTCTAAAAGTTTATGATAGTTTGGGTTTTCTCTTGTCGTTGAGAAATCCTAGTTTGGGTGTTTAGAGTGTCCCAATTTTGCCTTCCCTCAAGGCAATTAAAATTCCTCACATAACACTTCAACACATGTAATTAGGCAAACATGTGTGATTTCTTCTTCTTCATCTCCATCGACCACCATGATGACCATCAGATGCCTCCTAATCGGACAATTTCTCTTTAATAATTCACCACTGTCATTTTTGATCTTAATCTCAACGATTGGACCGTACCATTGCATCCGGAACGATCAAATTAGCTGGAAACAAGTCTTAAATCGTCCAAATAGCACTTCAGACGGCTAAGATTTGATCAAAACAATTCTGGCTTGATAAACGGCCCAGATTCAATCTCAGAATCGGTTGCAGTAGACTCTGCCGCACAAAATCCTGTCCCTCGGCTTGCGGCTCGACTCGACTTTAACTCAGCTCACTCTTGGCTCGCGGCTTGTGACGTGGCTGTGGGTCCCACATTGCTGACGTGGCTGCTGACTGTTGCTGACATGTCATGCCACCTGTTCATGCTGACAAAACTGTGACGTCATGATGACAGTAACAGTTCAAATTTGAGTTAATTAAGACATTAAAGTTTACACAATAACAGTTCAAAATTAAGATAAATTTTGATTTAATCGAGATAGTAACAATTCAAAAAATTGATTTAATTGAGACAGTAAAGTGTAGACAGTAACAGTTCAAAATTAAGACAGTAGTTTTGATTTAATCGAGACAGTAACAGTTCAAAAAATTGATTCAATTGAGAGAGTAATAGGTCAAATTTAAGACAGTAACCATTAAAATTTGATTTAATTAAGACATTAAAGTTTACACAATAGCAGTTCAAAATTAAGACAAATTTTAATTTAATCGAGATAGTAACTGTTCAGAAAATTGATTTAATTGACACGGTGAAGTGTAGACAGTAACAATTCAAAATTAAGACAGTAGTTTTGATTTAATTAAGGCAGTAATAGTTCAAAAAATTGATTTAATTGATAGAGTAACAGTTCAGAAAATTGATTCAATTAAGACAGTAACAGGTCAAATTTAAGATAATAACAGTTCAAATTTAAAACAGGTAAAAAATTAATTTTTTACTATAGGTGATAGACTTCAATTAATTTGTCCTCTAAATAATTCTTGGTTTGTACAGGCATTAATTATTTCCCTTTTAAGTTCTATTATTTTCTTTGTAACAAAATGTTGAGTTTGTTAGTATCGTTTACTTTAATTAACATACAGTATATTCATAAAATTAAATACCGGAATGACACAAAATACTAAAGTTATAAAAACTAAAATAAGCAAGTTACATTATATATATTTCCCTTGATGGCCATAAAATACCTTTTCTTTTTTTCTAGGAACCTATTAAAATAACACAGTATAGCCTAATATCCCATCAAAACCTCCGCCTCTGTTTTTAAAACACGCCAGACTGTCATTTTTTTTTTTTAAAAAAAAGGTACTAAACAGACTGCTCTGACGGTTGCAGTGCGGTGTGACAGAGGACATACACATTGCATTTGGAAATGTAATCGTACCGGCGTCCTTTTCTAATCCACACCACCTTCTCACGTGTGTTTCCCTGTAGTTTGCTTTCCATTCTCCACTAACAGCCTCTTCCTTTGCCACAACACGGAACAAACGGCCCTTCCTTCTAGAAATACCGGCTTCCATCTTTACTTGCTTTCTCTTCTTTTCTCGTTTCTCTTTTCTTTTAGTTTGTTTTCCTTCTTCTTGTAGTAGCCCTTTCATTCTTAAAAAACAAACAACCATGAACATATCATCTAAAAAAATGTTTTCATGCTTTAAACAATCCATGTTGTATCTTAGACATTTTAGCAAAAGCAAGTCCAAACACAAATCCTATGAGTTTGCTGCTGATCAGGTGAGTTTTGAAATTTATTTTGTGTTCGGGTGTGTTTAACTGTTTTATTTTTTCATTTTAAAATAATTAACCACTGTGTTTTCCTTGTTTGTTTTTTTTTTTGGCAGATTAAACAGATGATTGATAGTTATATAGATAAACATTTTATACTACCACCTGCATTTCACAACCGGCCAGCATGTTTATACATTTCCAAGGTGGATTTATATGGCATTTTAAAACGAACCAAAACTATGTCTGCAAAATAAAACTAAAATTGTAAACAAAGAAGTAATATAAAAATAAACATAATTAATAATAGAAATTACTTACTCTTGGAAATAAAACTTTGCAAAGTAACTATCAATTAAAAATTTAGAAATTCTAACAGAAAATGCATTACAATTAGTATACAGCTTCACTCTTTTAGCTTCACTCTTTTCTTAAAACCCCATCTCCACTGTAAAATCTAATCCTATTTTTCCAGCCATGATCTCAGCTTTAGATATGATACCTGCTTGCACAATTTCTGACCTATTGTAAGTTTTCCAACCTTCCCTATCCCAGTGCAGGGTAAAAGCTCCTATTGCATAGCTGACAGATACATTAGACAAGCCAAATGCCTTAGTAAACAGTATCAAATCATAAGGATCCTCCAGGTCTTGGGGCGAAGGTGGTTGTATTCTGTGAATAGGGTCGGTTAGTCTGTGTTTGTAAGAAAGATAGTCTACTTAGATTTTTTGCTGTTCAAGAAAATCAACAACAGACTCCTTCAAATATGCAGGAGTTTGTTTTAAAATGCCATATAAATCCACCTCGGAAATGTATAAACATGCTGGCCTGTTATAAAATGCAGGTGTTTGTATAAATTTTTTATCTATATAACTATCAATCCTCTATTTAATCTATCAAAAAAAAAACAAAGAAAAAACAGTGGTTAATTATTTTAAAATGAAAAAATAAAACAGTTAAACACATCCGAACACAAAATAAATTTTAAAACTCACCTGATCAGCAACAAATTCATAGGATTTGTGTTTGTACTTGCTTTTGCTAAAATATTTAGGATATAACATGGATTGTTTAAAGCATGAAAACATCTTTTTAGATGATATGTTCATGTTTATTTGTTTTTTAAGAATGAAAGGGCTACTATAAGAACAAGAAAAACAAACTATAAAAAAAGAGAAACGAGAAAATAAGAGAAAGCAAGTAAAGAAGGAAGCCGGTATTTTTAGAAGGAAGGGCCGTTTGTTCCGTGAACCTGTTAATGTGTTTGTGGTTGAAGTGATCAATGGAGTTGCATTAGGTGCTCAGAGTATGAATTAGATGAAGGAGAATCACCATCAGGTAATTATTAACTTAATCTTCTCATTTATTATTTTTGTTGCTTTGTGGGAATGGAAGGAAAGGTGGACGGGGATTAGGGAGCATAATAGAAGACTGTTGACTAATGATGTTCCTAAAATTGTTACGTGTAGATTTCATTTCTTATTATTCATACAATCGCGTCACCGATGTGGAGCGTCAAATCGCATATGCGTTTAAGGTGAGATTTATTTTTAATATGATTTCTTGCATATTCTTAATCTGTACGTTGGCTTAGCGTTGTGGTGTTGGTCTTGTTTCCAACTATTTCTTGCAGTGAGTGGCCGTGACAATGTGAGGCAGGATTTATTTATGTTTCTAAAAGTTTATGATAGTTTGGGTTTTCTCTTGTCGTTGAGAAATCCTAGTGTTATTTGAAATTTGTTGTTGTGTGATTAGTATTTGAGTTTCAATAAAATTAGTCAACTACGATTAGTAGGATTTCTGTTTTGTGTAAGAACCAGTATTGAAGGCTCTTGCTTCATTTTTTTTTTAATTAACATAAGTATTCGAGTTAGTTTGCGCGCATCTCGATTAACCCTACAGATTATGAATTTATTATAAATAGTCTACAAGGACTCTTTCAGATGACAATTAGTGCATTGCTCAAATCTTTCAATGAAAATTTACTCTTCTTTTCACAATCAATCAAGAGAGTCTACGCCTGGGTGTTGTGGTATATAGAGAAGAAAAACTCCAATGCTTTATCCTTTTACATATACGAGTATCATTAAATGATTTCGAATTAATCTTATTTAAGACCATGGAGAATGGTAGACATGATATGTTTTCTTTCCTTTTCTATTATTGTTACAACTCTTGTCCTGTTAAATAGTTTGATTTTGCCTGTTAATTTTGTGAAGGGAATACCATCCTCTCCATATTGTTGTGGGAGGCGGCCCTTCCATACATTTTCGATTTCGGGATGCAGCTTTGCTGTCAAGCCATCCTTCCACATGAAAACCCAAGTAAATCAATCCTCGCAAAGACTGGAGGCGAGGGTGTTAAATTTTTCACCCTCCAGGAAGTGGGCATCTATGGGACTATCACTCAGCAGGGCATTGAAACGTGTTTGACTTACCTAGATGTCACTGATAAGGTACAATACTTCTCTTTTATGTGCTCCTACCAATAAATTCATGAGCTACCAGTGCAACTGCTTCCAGTTGATTTCTTTTTGACTTTTATATTAAAGAGCTGCTTGTGGTTAAGAGCACGTAGAACTACTTGTTCATTCAGATTGCTGGGAATAACTTTTATTATCATTTTAGACTAGAAAGCTGATTTGTGTGTAGTTTGCCGGGAATAACTCTTATTATCATTTTAGAATGGAAAGCTGATTTGCTGGGAATAACATTTCTACATAATGTTCTAAGCTGCACACTGCAGAATCGGAATTATGAGGCCAAAGAAACTGAACCAAACAGCATATGCAAATATAGTAGAACAGAGAATAAAAAAATAACGAAATGGAAAGTAATACTGCTTCTAAAATACATGGCAGCTGATGGGAGAGAAAAACTCCGAACTAATTGATAATCACAAAGCAGAATCACACCATTGCAAATCTTCGTTGTACTGTCTTGCCTCACAATTTTTCATGCTAGTAAATTTTGTACTGCCTCATCTGCAGCGGATACAACAAAGTATACTTTTGTTTTTGGTTCTTATTTTATCTTTAGCATTCTTGTAATTCCTTATTAAAAAGGGTGAGTGCTATCTGCTTGAATTTTATCTGTGGAATATGCAGCCAAAATTCCTGTATTCAAAGTCCATTATCACTGTATCCATGAATTGGAACTTGGCTATGATATCATCTCAAAGGGTCTCTCATGTCCCATTATCACTGTTGTTTATAAAAGGGAACATGGCTATGATGTATCTTCTTGAGGGTTCTCTTATATTTTTTAATTTCCTAGTTGGTGACCGTCGGAATGCAATATGTGATGACTGATTTGATTGCAGGTTTTGCTTTTGCCGGTGTTTTTTGGGAAAACTTTGGCCCTGAGTGATGGCAAAACTTATCTAAGATCTGACTGCCTTCATAAGTTATCTCTAGTGTGACTCGGTGTCTGTGTAGGTTTGAATTATGTGTCTAATTCCAAGCAAACAGAGACGAAAACTTACCAATTTTTAACCTGTTACTATTTTTGGTGTCATGGGATGTTTGTATGCATTTGAACTGGAAATCCTAATATATTTATTGATTATACGCAGCTGTCAAAAAGCCTGCAATTTTCCTGTCATAGCAGGAGCACCTGTTGTCATCGGTGTCTTTCTCTGCCATTTATCTATCAATTGTTTCGGAAAGGAGCTATTCTTCAAGATACATGCATTTAAAGTTAATACTTAGTTCATGTGTTCATATCCACAGCAGTTTTTTTTCGCATCCCAATTCTAGCTGAAACATATCCCGAGTGTGAATGCTAGTTTTCCAATATGGAAAGGAGGAAGAAGCATTTAAATTTTAAATCTGTATGCTCTATTAACTGCTCAGCAAATCTGTACAAACAGCCTTTGAATCATCGGTCATTTGGATGGAGACCTCTTCTCTTCTTCTTTTTTTATTGACACCTCTTTACTGTTTTAAACTATTAATAAGTTCCTTATTCTTTTTTGTTTGGATTGACACCCTCTATATTCTTTTAATTTTGATTTTAATACGTGAACTATGATGTGTTTGGATTAGCACTCCTTTTGTCACCATCACCATCGGAACTCTACCTTTATGACAACTAAATCAACCCAAAAGACCACTAAATAATCCCTTCAATCTCTCTCGCAACATTTTGATATCAAAATCCATTATTAAACTCCAATCAAACTCAAAAATTTGAGTTTTTAGTTTTTCAATTTAAAATTTTAAAGCCTTAAAACAGTAAAATCCTGAGGTGGTGTGGTTTAAAATTCATACAAATGAACTCGCAACAATAAAACCTTTCATCCGGTGGTAAATTTATAAAAGGGCCCCCAATCATAGTTTATGTATTAAAATCAAAAGAAAAAAAAACAAAGAAGTGTCAATCCAAGTAGAAAAAAAGGAGGGTCTGTTAATAACTAACATAGTAAAAAGGGTGTCAATCCAAACAAAAACAAAAGGGGAGAGAGAGAGATCTTCATCTAAACAATCAATAATTCAGAGGTATTTGTATGAATTCACCTAATTGCTCAAAATAAAACAGCAACAGCTGTGCATCTACAGACAAATGTAATACCTCTTTTGCATCTCAGAAATTCTTAACCAATCTATATCCTCTTCGGCATCCACGTTTGTTGAATCTTTTGAATGCTTCTTAGTGACCTGTCCAGAATCACCTTAAAAAGAGAGCAAATACATGGAAAAATTACATTGAGGTCCACTGTACACAAATCTTAATAAAGAAAACGTTTCAGGCTTTAAATTATAACTTAATGGACCCCTCTAAAAAGAAAAGAAAAGGTTGCATGTTGAAAAATCACAACTTGCTTAATATTAAAGTCAATTAATACTGCGGGAGGAAATTCCAAAAGCTTCAGAATCAAAGCAAGAAAAAATGAAGATTGGTACTGTTACATCTCCATTCATTCAGGGGGAAAAATAAAATGTTTCATTCCAATATACAGGACTTTTTTTTTAATCTAGGTCAGAAAACAATTTTATTGTTTAGATACACAAGGGAATCTCTTACTGCAAATCTTTTAACTTTCAAGAGTGATTCCAATTCATACTGGATAAGGAAATATCATTATAAACAGTTGAGAATTTAATGAAGAAAATCACAATTGAACATCCAGATAGACTACTAACTGTATCAGTAAAGGGTCTTAAAAAACCATCAGCGACATCTAAAAATGGAAACAAGCATTCCAAATGCCTATTGGTGTTCAATTTGAAGACAGGCTGCAGATGGGTACCTCCTCCCCACCTCACACTTCCCTTCCCTTCCAAACAAACAAAAGCGTAGTTATACACTTACATCACTCAATTTATTTTTCAATCATCGGCCTATTATAGTTTGTGTTATTCACATAATTCCATTCACTTGGACAACCAGATGCACATAATTCCTACAATGACAGAATCATTGCGCAAAGATGTTTTAGCATGCTAACCTCCAAATAACAACGGAAAAGGCAAGAAATACAGAATATAGTAATATGCACAGGCATTTGCAATATACCATTAGAAGATTGAGAAATTGATGGATTCTTCTTGAGCAAAGCCTGATCATATAAAGTAAAAACAACCCAAGTTAAACAAAGAAATAGAAATTGATGAGATTAATAGCTATAAAAAGAGTACAACATAAAAGACCGATGACAGCCATACCTCCTGTAGTTCCAGTAGAGATTCCAAAGTCTTCTTGGATGAGGTGATCAAGTCAGCATATACCATCCCAACTATTTCATCAGAATCACAAAATGAAGACCTAACCGGTTCCAGCAATCAATCCCTTTTATGTTTGACCAAAATGCTTCAAGCATATCATTGAGCAATAAAAGAGGTAGAGAAACCTAAAGATACCTGCGGTAATCTGTTCGAGTTTGCAAATGCTTTTTGAAGTGAGAATCTCAACTCAAGAGTTTTGTCCCAGAGAGCCTTAAGAAAATGGTAGAGAAGTTTGTGAGCACATGAAAAATCTGATTAGAATATTTATCAAGTTGATCCCTTATCAATGATGATAGTAGCTACAGTGTACAAAGCTATTGTAACCAATGGATATTGTGAAAGAAACCATAAGATTGAACATCTCCAGGCTCTTCACTGCTTGACCTTTAATAAGATCTTCATCCTTGGGGCGTTTAAGATTCTTCCATATATCTCTGAAATTGAAAACTAAAAGGGTTAATTAAAGCAAATCTATTAGAGTTCACGATCCTTGTAAACAAAGTTTCAAAAACAAGAATCAAACTTTTAAAAAGTTTGTACAAAACCCAAATATTATTATAATTAACTTCGTCAAATTAACAATAAAACCAAAATGTCTCATCTCACTACCTAATTGCAGTCTTATTATTCCCATATATTCTCTTCATGCTTCGAGAAAAAATCAAGTTAACAAGCATGGTATTCATGGGGGTATCTTACATCATCTGACCAAATATAAAGCAATGTTATTTTCCAAAGAAGTAGAGTAAATTGCAATCGACAACTCTCTCTTACCGTCAAGATCTACACTCAATTTAATCTAAATAAACTGCAGCCCCAAATTATTCCCAGTTGATACTTGATAGGGATACATCGTAGCTTAAATCTTATGTCAAATTAATAAGCTGTCGCGATTGAGAAAAAAAAAATGATAGAAGGGGTAAGTTGCCAAGCATGGTAGAAGAGACAGTAATTTTGACTTAATTGAGACAGTAACGGTTCAAATTTGATTTAATTAAGACAGCAACAGCTCAAAATTAAGATAACAACTGTTGAAAATTGATACAGTGAAAGTTCGAAAGTCATCATTGTTAGTAAGTTTAAAACTAAGACAGTAATTTTAATTTAATTAAGACAGCAACAGTTCAAAAAATTGATTCAATTAAGACAGTAACATGTCAAGTTTAAGACAGTAGCAGTTCAAGTTTGATTTAATGAAGACATTAAAGTTTACACAATAACAGTTCAAAATTAAGATAAATTTTGATTTAATCGAGACAGTAACAGTTCAGAAAATTGATTCAATTGAGACAGTAAAGTGTAGACAGTAACAGTTCAAAATTAAAACAGTAGTTTTGAATTAATTAAGGCAGTAACAGTTTCAAAATTGATTTAATTGATAAGAGTACCAGTTCAAAAAATTGATTTAATTGAGACAGTAACAGGTCAAATTTAAGACAGGTAAAAAATTAATTTTTTACTTATCAATATTTAAGGATAGATGATTGCTGAATATTTTTCTTGAGTCATTTTACAGTGAAGTGGCAGTGCTTGAGGTGGGGCGGCAGCATGGTTGGGCTGGAGCAATAGCAGCAGGGAGGGGGGCAGCAGCGGCAGCACGGCGGGTAAGCATCCATGAGGTCAATCACAACGTATGGAAACCATGGCTGGAGCAATAGCAGCAGGGAGGTGGGCAGCAGCGGCAGCACGGCGGGGAAGCATCCATGAGGTCCATCACAACGTGTGGAAACCATATCAAGGTTTAACTCATTTCTTGGAGTCCAAAAGACACGTTGCAATCCTGGCCTGATATGCTTGTACTGTTTCAAAAGGTATGTCCTCAGGTATCACTTTGTCATTCAATATCATCTCGATGATGTAAAGAACAATGATTCCACAGTCCTCCCTGCATGTGTTTTGTAGATAATGTTATCTTTTAAGATAATTGATTAAATAATGGTTTTCATGTAACAAATATGCTCATTTACTTACGAACAGCTTTTTTGCTGAGGACTATCTTCTTTTACAATCAACTGGAATGGGTCCTTATCCCTTGTCTTCCCTTCTTTTTCCAGCAGCTCTTGCCTCCTTTTATGGACATAGTCTTTCTGCTCCAATTTAATTTGATGTAACATGATTTTTTATATATTATAAAGTAACATGATTTTTTTGTTTTGGAAAGGACAGTTACATACCACCAGTTCTGCATCCTTCACAAAGTTGGCTTCACTCTTGCTTTTGAGCCAAGAGTTGTAGAATGTCCATGTCCTGGCTTCCACATCGAAGACAAGCAGCGTCCAGTGAAAAGGAGAGGCTTCGATATTTCCTCCCGCCGAATTCATAGGAAATATCAGGACCGATGCTTCTAACCCGTCCTTCAGCTCTTGCTGCAGCTGTGGGTTTGCCTCGCCCCTATGGCCTTCGCGAACTATATGTGTCTGAAAGAATAATAATTTTTGTTATCTTGAGTGATACTTCATTAGTTTTGTCTTTTCATACAATTTTAATAACTTACCCAGATCAAGCTGTCATGTATGATTGGTTTTCTTGGTGCTGATACCCCTTTTATTTTTCTCTCCTCTAACAGGAGAAAGCAAAATGCATCGATGACCTGCACAGGTGTATGTAAATTATCCATGCATATTCCATTGAAGTAACAAACAGGTTTAAGTAATGATACACTCACATTATTTGAGATTGACTTTTCATGTAGGACGTCTAAAATGTCATAAAAAAAAATGAATTTCATGCTCTTTTCTTCAACACATAGACAATCTCTGTAAAGGATCAAAATTAAGAGTACAAGTTCAAAAGTAATTGAGTAAAGACAATAACAGTTCAATCATCGGCCTATTATAGTTTGTGTTATTCACATAATTCCATTCACTTGGACAACCAGATGCACATAATTCCTACAATGACAGAATCATTGCGCAAAGATGTTTTAGCATGCTAACCTCCAAATAACAACGGAAAAGGCAAGAAATACAGAATATAGTAATATGCACAGGCATTTGCAATATACCATTAGAAGATTGAGAAATTGATGGATTCTTCTTGAGCAAAGCCTGATCATATAAAGTAAAAACAACCCAAGTTAAACAAAGAAATAGAAATTGATGAGATTAATAGCTATAAAAAGAGTACAACATAAAAGCCCGATGCCAGCCATACCTCCTGTAGTTCCAGTAGAGATTCCAAAGTCTTCTTGGATGAGGTGATCAAGTCAGCATATACCATCCCAACTATTTCATCAGAATCACAAAATGAAGACCTAACCGGTTCCAGCAATCAATCCCTTTTATGTTTGACCAAAATGCTTCAAGCATATCATTGAGCAATAAAAGAGGTAGAGAAACCTAAAGATACCTGCGGTAATCTATTCGAGTTTGCAAATGCTTTTTGAAGTGAGAATCTCAACTCAAGAGTTTTGTCCCAGAGAGCCTTAAGAAAATGGTAGAGAAGTTTGTGAGCACATGAAATATCTGATTAGAATATTTATCAAGCTGATCCCTTATCAATGATGATAGTAGCTACAGTGTACAGAGCTATTGTAAACAATGAATATTGTGAAAGAAACCATAAGATTGAACACCTCCAGGCTCTTCACTGCTTGACCTTTAATAAGATCTTCATCCTTGGGGCGTTTAAGATTCTTCCATATATCTCTGAAATTAAAAACACAAAAGGTTAATTAAAGCAAATCTATTAGAGTTCACGATCCTTGTAAACAAAGTTTCAAAAACAAGAATCAAACTATTAAAAAGTTTGTACAAAACCCAAATATTATTATAATTAACTTCGTCAAATTAACAATAAAGCCAAAATGTCTCATCTCACTACCTAATTGCAGTCTTATTATTCCCATATATTCTCTTCATGCTTCGAGAAAAAATCAAGTTAACTGTAAACTAAAGGAAAAAAAAAAAAGCAAAGAGGTGCATTTGCTTGTCCAAAGCTGAACCCTAAGCACAAATTTCAAACATACCAAATTCATCGTGTGCTCTCTAAACAGCTAAAAGCAAAGAATATTTACCAACAACAGAAGAGAAATTTGTCTTACTGCTCTTGATTGCGAAGATTCATATATTCTTTCTCAAGGTCTTCCATCTCGGCATCTTTTCCACTCTCTTCGTCTTCTTCTTCTTGCTCCTCTCCTTCTTCTCCGTCCTCCTCCTCCTCCTCCTACTCTTCTTCGCCGTCCTCCTCCTCTTCTTCGCCGTCTTCCCCATCATCATCATAATCTTCCATCTGCATCATAAATTAAATCGGTGATTAATTAAATCGTAATCGCTGTCAGCCATTAAGCAAAGCAACAGAGGAAAAGTCAAAACACGACTGACGGCAGTAAGAAGCTGTTCGCTTTCCATGTCATCAAACTCTTCAAAATCGTCACTGTCTCTGCTTGATTTCCTTGGCAGCTTCTTGGATAACCCCATTTTGATCTGAGAAAATTGTTCAATAAAATCACTAATCACTCTTTCTTTTTTACCTAATCACATGACAAAAGTTCAAACCCTACTAACTATATCACGGAAGAAGAAGAAGAAAGTTACCTGCTAATTAAAGGAAATTGAAAAAAGAGAGAAATGAGAGAACAGCTTCAGGCAGGTGGGAGGGTAGATCTCTCGGGGTTTTAGTGCTGTCTGCAACGTCGTCTTACTGTTGGTGCGGGAGTTTGGTTGTCCTGTTTTTTTTAAAGTGTTTTTAGTTTTAAAATAATATTATTTTTTATTTTAATATGAACACATCAAAATAATTTAAAAATATATTAATTTAAAAAAAAAAATATTTCAATTTTTTTCTTTTTCAAAAGTGTTTTTGAAACACTATATTTGATACGGCGATAGCTGTTGTGCTTGTGTTTTAAAAAGTATTATTCTATTAAAAATACTTTTACTTGGGATTGGTTTGAAAAAATATATATTTGGTTAAAAACATGATAGAAATTAAGATTAAATAAAAAGTAGTTTAATGTGTTTGGTTAATAATGTTTTTGAAGTTGAAGTTATTAAATAATTTTAAAAATATATAAATTAATATTGATGGTTTTTAATTTAAATATTGTAGATTTAGCTATTACTATTACATCATGAAATAAATAATTCTTTATATAAAATATTTTTTATTATTTCATTAAACTATCTACAATTCCATCACGTATTAAATACATCCGACAAGGACTACAGTTTTCTTGGTTTTTTAAGAACACAACAACATCAAATAAAATATAATCAGGAATAAAATTAGGATTGCGATCAAATTCTGCAAATGTTACGCCATCAAGCCATCTCTGTCTATTTTATATAGTATCATTGAATAATTTTTTTATTTTATTAGGTCAGACCCAATTCAATGCATTTATAGCTTTGAACCGGATCCTGTCTGGCCGGAACAGTGGAGAATGTCTTACTGTTCAAGTGACCAGCAGAGCCATGCTCCACTGTTCAGTGATTCCTCCGCGCAAGAAGTAGCAAAATTGTCCTCCTACAAAACCTGAGACACAGCCATATGTCTAGTGGGTCCTACCAATATAAACTTGTGTTTTTTGCTTCACCAAACAACAATATTTATGGGTGCGGGTGAACCTCACCAGCATCCACACTACAAACAGCAAACCCTATAACTAGAGGTTGAAAAGAAAGGGACGGGGGCATAGAGGACATTACATTATAATTATTGTTATTATTGACAAAACTCCAAAACAGGTGGGATTTTTATTATACATGAATGCATTGTGGATGAAGAGACAATTCACTATGAACTTACTGTACATGCATACATTGTGGATCAAGATACAATTAATTGTAGACTTGCATAGTTGCTTTGCTATGTATTAATAAAATGTATGGGGATTTTTTACTATACATGGATTGTAGACCAAGATACAATTAACTGTGGACTGCATTATAGCACCTTGAAGACGTTCATGTTAGGGGGTGAGATCGCCCAACGCCCCCTTTTGGGTAAGGGCACGTATGTGCCCAACCCCTGTTGAGCCAAGGACCCACCCATGTCCAACTTCATGTTAGGCTTGGACAGGTCCGCGCCCAACCCTGTGTTAGGTCTCGATGCGCCCCCACCCGCTCCCAAGACCTTGTTAGGTGAGGGATGTGCTGGCACCCGGCTCCATATTGGGCCTAGACGACCCCGCGCTCTATCCTGTGTTGGATCTGGACACGTCCGCGCCCAACCCCAAATTGGGTCTGGGTTTGTTCACGCCGAACACCCTGTTGGGCGAGGGACGCACCAGCACCCGACTCCATATTGGGCTTGGACACGCCGCGCCGCGCCCTATCCTGTGTTGGATCTGGACACGTCCGTGCCCAACCCCATGTTGGGTATGGGCCCGTTCTCATCCAACACCTCTTTAGGCGAGGTCATGTTCGCGCCCAACCCCCTGTTAGGCAGTGATGTTGTCGTTCCTTGTCATTCTTAGGTACAGTCACAAGCTGGACTCGATTTCTCCTAGGCCCAGGGCATGAATTGAGTCCAATGTCCGTCAGATTGAGTGTGTGATTGAAGGGTCACTCTACACTGAGTCTCTCATACCCTGAGCCTGGATTAATAACCATGATGCCCATCATAATATCATTAAATACGAACAAGAGGCCCATGCTTATATTAATTAGATGTGATAGTACGAGCAGTAATATAATAATATCTTAATCATACAAGATTACTTTTCTACCCCTCCTACATTACATGAGGAAGTTCAGATCAGGTAACATAAGAAAAGAGAAGAATGTACAAAAAGGGGCTCCGGGACAAAAAAAACACATTTTTGCTTCTTCTTAATTTCCTTTCCCTTCCTCTTCTTTGTCTTCATAAAAGCTCATCAATACTTTCATTAATGTCGCCATTAATATAAATATTACTAGTACTGACTTGATCTTCGGAGGGTCCCTATCAACACCCGCAAGGGACTTTGTGCAAGTATTTATTCTAGAAGACGAGAGAAAGATTTGCCCAAGGAGAAGCCTACGTGGTCTTGAAGTGGAGGTTATTGAATTCATCGTAAATGATGCATAAGAATTTCTAGGAATAGTTCATCCCAGAATATTCCCTGTGATTTTTATAACCTCGTCACCTTTCTTCCTTATGCGTGGAAATCGAATCCTGTTTTGTTTTTTTTGTTGGATAAAAATAGCGGATGAGATTTTTTTCCATTTGAGATTCGGTTGGATTTTCTTATTTAAGCATGCCTGTTTTTTTCTTTTAAAAATGCTTTTAAAATTAATTTTGTTTTCCTTTACTTCAAATTAAGATTTTATTATTTTTAATTTTATTATGTAATACTACCATATTAAAGTTGATGGAGCTCTATTTTTTTTTTATTCGCATCGTATATTTTATAAAATTTTGGTATTATATAAGAGAATTTTTTAATACTACAATCTATTAAAAAATAATTTATAAATATTATAATATAATTTTATTTTGGATAAGAGAAGATATGTTAATGTTATGCATATGAAATTCAAAATTTTATATACAGTAGTTTGGAATTATATATATTATTAAATATATAAATAAATTATGTGTCGATTGGATGCTAGGTTCTACCATGTGCAGGACCCAAAATAATAATAACAATAACAGCCCTCCACACACCACGACACAACAACTAGGAGTCAACAGTGGATGGCTCTGCCACTTCAACCAACAACATTGCGAAGGCTTAGCTAAAGTTTAGGGCTTTCCTTAGTAATTCAGCGAGTAGGGTTGTGCTTTTAGCAGGAGGATATTATATAAGAATATGAAGCATAGGCCCTCTTTTTCCCATCTGTAGTCTTATAGCCAGTGCCATTAGCTGCCCCTCCAATCCCTTCCGTAGGATAAGCCCCTCCAATTGGAGTACAAGGAAAATCCCTTCCGTAGGATAAGCCTCTCTTGTTACAGTGGCAATGGTATGTAAGTTTGAAAAAACGCTAATCTCTTTCTGTTGCATCGCTCTGCCGATCTCCTCTTCTCATTTAACGTCTTCGATGTTGAAGAAAGTCTCTACACTTGTCCAAACCCTCAAAAGAAAAGTGTAAGATGTTAGGTTGGTTGCCATTTCATGTAAGGCACCAACCATTGACCATTGACTATTGGTAGCCACCATTGTTGAATGAGCTAGAGCTGGTGGCCACCAATGTTGACAACAAACCAAGAAAAGCCTCCATGAATGCCTATAAATAGAGGCATATGTTAGAGAGCAAAATGAGAGAAAGAAAAGAGCCAAAGATGTGAGAAATGTAGGAGAGAGTGGGCTGCCATTGCAGCACTAAAAGGAGAGAAATAGAGTGAGGATAAGAGTTGTGAAAGAGGGGATGATTCCTCCTCCTTTATTGTTTTAAATCTTGTACTCTCCCTACATAATGCAATGGCTTCTCCTGTGGATTTAAGCGGTTTGCCGAACCACGTTAAATATTGTGTCAGTGTGCTTCGCCTCCTATGAGCAAATATCAGTACATCACCGGTCGGAATTCCCAACAATTGGTATCAGAGCCATGCCCCCGAGTTAGCCATAATGGATGAATCCTCGGAATGCCGGACAAAAGGTGGTAGGCCCTAATTAAAATCACGATGTGATCCATGGATCAGCTCTATTGGATAGGCGGTGTGCTCCGGATGCTTCATGGACGTGTCCTGATCTCAACACAGTGAAGAGGAGTTGACCTAG